AAGCAAATTTGCAGATGACACCAATTTTGGTAGAGTGGTCAGCAGCAAAGATGGCTGGAGGTTACAGGAAGATATAGGTGGGTTGATCAGATGGGTAGACCAACGGCAAATGGTATTTAACCCTGATAAGTACAAGCAATGCACTCTAGAAGAAACAAGCGAGGGAGACTTCGCAGTGGGGTTACAACTAACTCAGAGATAGTAAGAACTGCCAATGCTGGAGTCAGAGACAACACGGCGTGGAGCTGGAGGAATACAGCAGGCCAGGCAGCAGAGGACTCGAAAAGGAGCCTCTGAACGAGGGTCCTGACTCGAAACATCAACTTTCCTACTCCTCTGATACTGCCTGGCCTGCTGTGTTCCTCCAGCTCCACACTGTTATCTACAAGCTGAGGGAGCATTTAACGAATGGCAGGACACTGGGCAGTTTAGAGGAACAGCAGAATCTTTGGGTAATTATTCATAGAGCCCTGCAGTCAGCAGAGCACATGAATAGGATAGTTATGGTAGTATACAGGACACTTGCTTTCATCAGTCATAGCATAGAGTGTAAGAGCAAGGAAGTAACGTTGGAGTTGTACAGAACGTTGCTTGAGCCACAGCTGGAGTACTGTGTGCAGTTTTGGTCACCTACTACAGGAAGGATGTGATAGCACTAGAGGAGGTTCACCAGGATGTTGCCTGGGATGGAGAAATTGACCTACAAGGAGAGACTGGATAGGCTTGGATTGTTTTCTTTACAGGAGAGAATACTGACAGGGGACATGATTGAGGTGTACAAGATTGACAGGGGTATGGACAGGGTGAATACAGAACAACGGTTTTCCTTGGTCGAGGGGTCAATCATGTGAGGGCATAGAGTAAGAGGCAGGAGATTCAGAGGAGATTTGGGAAAAGAAACTTTTTCACTCAGCAGGTGGTGGGAATCTGGAATGCACTTCCTGAGAAGGTAGTGGAGGCCAGAAACCTTACAACCTTTAAAAAATATTTGACAAGCACTTGAAATATCATAACTTTAAAGGATATGGGACAAGTGCAGGAAATTGGGATTAGCGCACTTTTAGTGATAGTTGTGTCAGTGCAGACATGATGGGCTGAAGGGCCATTTTTGCACTGTATGAATCTCCAAATCTATAGAGACCTATTCAGCCCATCACATTTGTGCCAAATCAAGTGGGGTGATATAATTCAGACAGTACCAGGTCACTGCAAGCACTCAATTCTAAGTGGGAGAAGTTGCCACAAGTAAAATCACCAAAGGAAATGCTAATACAAGAAGGATGATAGAAGAATGTCTGAACAAAAAGCATAGCAGCATGATAGGGAAACACACCTGAACTGAGTTAAGATACAGGTCAGTGTTTACTAGATGAGGTCAAATTGAAGGGGAGTGAAAGGTGGGGCACTGGTCAAGACACTGTTGGAATAATCTAACAGAGATAATGAAAGAACAGGTGATTCAACAGCATTCAGGATGAGAGAGGCACAAGGACGATTTAAGCTCTCACTAAAAACAGAATTCTTGCATCTGAGGGGGGAAACCCTCTGTTGCTTAGGAATCTTTGAGTTTGTGCACTGCACTGAAAAGATAAAGACCTGTATTTATACGGCACCCTTCTAGACTGTCAGATGTCCTAAAGTGCTTTACTGCAAATGATATACTTTTGAAGTGTAGTCATTGTTGTAATGTAGGAAATGCACAGCCAATAAATGCACAGCAAGCTTCCACATGCAGCAATGTGATAATGACCAAATAAGCTGTGATTGACAGATAAACATCCATCAAGCTACCGATCTTCCGAGAATGCCTTGCAATGCCACTTGTTACAAGCAGTTAACCTTATCTGTGATCACTTCCTTGCACCCACCTCTCTCTGCTCCTCACAATCCTACATGGAGGAAAAAACTGTCCCAAATCCCTTAACAGCACTTTCAAACTTCTAACCGTCCAACCTTTAGATCTCCATTCTGAGAGACATTTCTACAGTTACCAAACTGTTCAATCACCACACCCTGGCTCACTCAGTCTTGTGCTACATCCCCAACTGCCCTCTCACTATTCTAAGAGCCACAGACTTCAATGACTAATCACAAAAGAAGACATGTTCATACACTTATCACCAGAACTGGTAGGACCACCTGTTCAACTGGATCATCCTGGCTTTAACTATCTATGCAAACCATAGTTGTTAAATATCTTTCACCTGGTTTGTCCATCTCCACCTCCAAGTGCAGAAACCCTCAAGTTTCTTTTCATTTTGATGGGGATGCTGGTGAACTGTTGTCTCCTCTGCCCTTGCCCATCAAGCCCATCTTCCTAACTCTGAATTCACCTTTTTTGTTTTACTGGCCTATCATCCCATGCCTTCTCCAATCACAGCTTGTCCCGGAAGGCCATCACTTACTCAGTTGAGCCTGTTCCCAACCTGCTGACCACCCAAAATCCCTACTGTCCTCATACTGTTCACAGGTTCTCTCTGGTGTTGGCCCCCCTCAATTCTGCTGTCCTTATGCTTGTTCCAAAACAAAACCATGCCCGTGTCCTTGCAAACTATCACCCAATCTCTATTTCCTCTTTTCAGAAGTACTTGACAATGTTGTCACCTCCCAAATTTACTTCCTGGAATTCTATATTTGAATCCTTCCAATCAGGTCACTGTCCTGCCACAGAACAGAAACAGTTCTGACGTCTGATACAACTGTGACAATGACAAATTTTGCTGCCTCATCCTCCTTTATCTGTCTGTAGGTCTTTACACAGTTGACTACATCATCCTCCTCTAATGTCTTCCAGCTAGCTACAACTGTTCTCATTCGCTTTCATTGCTCCCTCTTGATAATTCACAGTTACATCATCATGTAACCATTTCAATCCCATTTTCCAGTACTTAGCTCATACCCTTGTATGCTTTGGCATCACAAGCGCACATCTAAATACTCCTTAAAATATTGAGGGTTTCTGCCTTTGCCATCCTTACAGGCAGGGAGTTCCAGATTCCCACCACCCTCTAGGTGAAAAAGATTTTCCCTTACATCTGCCCTTTACTTTAAATCAATGTCCCCCAGTCACTGATCTTTCTGTTAAGGGGAAAGGCTTTTCTTGTCTTCCCTATCTATGCCCTTCATAATTTTATACATCTCGATCATGTCTCCTCTCTTCCAAGAAAAAAACCTCAGTCTGTCCAATCTCTCTTCATACTGCCCAGCCCAGGCAACATCCTGGTAATCCCCTCTGCATTGTCTCCAGTGCAGTTGCATCCCTCTTAGAAAAATGGATTCCAGAGCTGCACACAATACTTATAATGCAAAGAGGGTAGTGTGTGAGGAATAATAAAATGTGATAACATAACATAATAGGTTACTGAGGGGGCGGGGTAGTGAAACCAGAGTAACAAAGGAGGTAGTTCAAACCTAGTCAAGACATAAATATTAAATAGCCTTTGGACATTGTCTTGCAATCTTAATTCTCATTTCTAACAGTCATCTGCTAGAGTGGACAGTTACATCTTACTGCCTCCACTCTAGCACTGAGCTTCCTTTTTGTTCACTCTCCACTACCTCTGCTCATATTTGCTTAAACCCGGTTACATCCTTGAACCTTTTCCAAGTTCTGACAAAAAGGTTATTAACACTTTCTCACTTTAGTCACTGCCTGACATATTTTTATAGTTTACATTTTCTCTTTTTATTTCATATTTCCAGTATTGGTAGCATCTCATTTTTGATATCAACTTTCACAAGCCCAACAAAAATAAAGATTAATCCCCCCGCTCCTCACATATCACCCCACCCACCTCCGCATCCAGCGTATCATTCTCCACCACTTGCGCCACCTACAATCCAACGCCACAACCAAATAAATACTTCCCTCCCTACCCCTATCTGCCTTTCATAGGGACTGCTTGGTCTGTGACTCCCTTGTCCACACTCCCCAGTAACCCCATCACACCTGGCACCCGTACCTGCAACCACAGGAAGTGCTACACCTGCCCCTACACCTCCCCCCTTACCTCCATTCAAAGGCCCAAAACAAACCTTTTATATCAGATTTGGGTTCACCTGTACATCCATCAACTTGGTCTACTGTATCTGCCGCTCCCGATGTGGTGTCCTTTACGTCGGTGAGACCAAGCATAGACTCGGAGACTGTTTCATACAGCATCTGCGCCCTGTACGCGACAAACGACAACATCTTCTGGTTGTCAACCACAAACTCCCTCTCCCACTCCCTGGGTGACATGTCCATCCTGGGCCTCCTCCAGTGTCACAACACCATCCACAAACTGGAGGCACAATAGCTCATATTACACCTCGGCAGCCCGATGGCCCAAACGTGAATTTTACCAGTTTTAAAATCTCCCCACCTCCAGCCTCATCCCATGACCAACGATCCCTCTCATCCCCGGTTCCTTGACTTGACACAACTTGTCAATCTTCTCTCCCACCTATCTGCCCCACCCATCCCACTGACCAATCCCCACCACTCCCTACCTGCACTCACCTATCACCATCCCACCTACCTTCCCCAGCCCCACTCCTCCTCTCTATTTATTTCCCAGCTCCATTCCCCTTCCCTATTTCTGAAGAAGGGTCCTGACCTGAAACATCAACTTTCCTACTCCTCTGATGCTGCCTGGCCTCCTGTGTTCCTTAAGAAAGCAGCCTCCTTTATACAGGCTTGAGGGGCTGAAATGCCTCCACTGTTCCCATGTTTCTGCTTTTGAGGAAATACCTCAAACTGTTTTAACATCCACTCAAGAGTAATATTCTCAAGATCCTGATTGACAAATGTTTGTCAATGCCTTGTCTTCAAATCCTGACTCTGTGCCTATCCCTACAGGGACAACTGCCTAGTAACCAAAATTAAGATGAGACACTGATGTCCCTGTCAGCACAGGCTGGATGGATCCCATAGAGCTTAGGGTTGCAACAGGATCTCCCTGACTTTGTTTCAGAGATATTATGGCTTTCCTTGGAGAATGTCAAATCCAAATCCTTACTTTAACCCAGGCAGGTCCCGAACACTGGCTGCAATCTCGGTGGCCTCAGGACAAAGTTTCTCCACCAGCTCCAGGGGGCCCCACAACGACTTGTTCTGACCCAGGAATGACTTCTTCACTGAAGCAGAAGGGTAGAAAAGATCACATTACAAACAGCATTGGTACCTTGTCTCTAATAACAGTACCAGGCTGACACCAGATGAGACAGCAAGAACTGCAGATGGTGAAATCAGAGACAACATTGTGTGTGGAGAAGGGTCCTGACCCAAAATGTCAACTTTCCTGCTCCTCTGATGCTGTCTGACCTACTATGTTCCTCCAGCTCCACACTGTGTTGTCTCTGACACCAGATGAGGACAGCTACTATTCTCTGAACATTCACCTCAATATGGAAAGGATGAGCTTCAGAATAAAGTCAGAATGGGGAAGCACTGGGGATGGAGAAAACACCACAGAATTTCCCTCAGTTGGAATGTTAATACAAGGAGTACCAAGTAAAATTTTTAAATTGACAGCAATGACCACCACCACTGACATTAGAGAAAGTGAATCTAAATGATCTAATAACACTTTTGGCCAGGCTAAAAGAGTGCACTGATAAACACTAACCTGTTCAAAGCAATAAGGGGGAAAACTGAATTATAGGTGGTTAACTTTTACCTTTGAGTCCATGCTTCAGGCAGTGTTCCAACACCACAAAGAATTGTTGCAACGGGGCATAGTCCGAGTCCAAGGTCCGCCCAAAGCTCAGAGCGGATTCGATTAGTCCCTTGATGCTGAGGTTTGCCATATTGAGGAGATTCGTTCTCTCAATGGCCATTGGGTCCTTTAACCCTGGAAAAGGAGAGAATAAGTGAATTAATGCTTGGGAGAGGGGGGCATGGAGTCAGGTGACAGCATGGAGGGAGTGCGTGAAGGGGGGCCGCGATGAGGGGCGACCAGGATGGTAAGGGGGACGGTGGTGGGGTGTGGTTGGTTACTGCCCTGGGAGGGTGGGATTTGGGAAGGTTCGGGGGCCACCCCGGGCCCGGGCCGGGCTCTCTCTCACCCCGTGAAGCCTCCTCCACTACCGGGTCTCTTGCCGGAGCTGCGGCCGAGAAGGTTTCTGATGCCTTCCGGGCGAAGGCGAAGATGGGAGCCTGCCAGGTGGGCTCAGTACCGGCTCCAGCTCCTTGCCCGACTCTCGAGCCCGGGCTCCGTTCGTCCTGAAGCCGCAGGATCCCGAAAGGCCGCTCCCGGTCTCGGCTCTCCCCATCGCCCAGGCCTGGCGGCAACTCCGGTTCCACCGACTCCATTCCGCGTCGTTAATCCCGCCCTCACCTCTGGATCAGCCCCGCCCCCCACAGGCCCGGCTTCGGGAAGAGCTTCGAGAAGATTCCGACCACCCGGCTCCGCCCCCAGCCCGACTGGTCACTTCCAAATCTCAGACCATTCACTCCCTATTCCTGGACCAGTAACTCCGCTAGTCCCAGCCCGTTCACTACCTATTTCTGGACCAGTCACTCCCTATTCTTGGAAACGTTACTCTTCCATACCAGTATGGTCATTTTGGTAATTCCGGACAAATTATTCCTCCAACTCAATTCCCCTAAACCACAACTAGTCATTCCCTAACCTTGAATCTGTCATTCTACAGTGCTAGACACCCAATCCCCTAATCAGACTAGTCACTCCCTATTTGTGAACCATTTACTCAAATGATCCCAATCATTCAGTCCCCTAATCCTGGACTGATCACTCCCCTACACAAACACAGTTACTTCCCTAGACCTGAAATAGTCATTTCCCAGACACAAGCCTGATCACTCTCTCTAATCCTGGATCAGTCAATCCTACAATCCTGGTCTGGTCACTCCCCTAATCCTGGATCGATCACTCCCTTAATCCCAGACCAGGCATTCTCTTAAACTTGGTCTGTCCACTCCTCTACTCTTAGTCTGGTCATTTCCCTAATTCTGGATTGATCACTTGTCTGAACCTGGACTAGCCACTCCCCAAAACCCAGACTGGTCATTCCCCACAGCACCAGACCTGGACACTGCCCTGATCCCAAACCAGTAACTCACCCTGATCCTAGACCAGTCACTCCCTCTAATCCTGGACTTCTTACACTCCGCATATCAGACTGGTCATACCGCTAGTCCCTGACTGGTCACTTTGCATAATCCAGGACCAGTCACTTCTTCAAATCCTGAACAAGACACTTACCTAATCCAAGATCCATCACTTCTTTAATCCTGAATTAGGCACTCCCCCAGTCCTGGACCAGTCATTCCCCACAACCTCTGAACAACCTCAAACCACTCACTTCTGTATTCCCAGTCTAGTCATTTCCCTCAAACTGAACCGGTCACTCCCATAGTCCCAGTCCGATCATTCTTCAATATCAACCTGGTCACTCCCTTATTCCTGGACCACACAAACCTCTCAATTCCAAAGCTATCACTCCCTTAATCCCAGACCTATCACTCTCCTTAATTTAAGACAAATCACTCCCTAATTCTGAACAGCCACTCCCCTAATGGCGGATAAGCCACAATTCTGGCCTAATCAATCTCTGTAATCCCAGATCAGTTGTTTCCCTAATGCTGAACTGGTCACTTCCCTTACTGCTGGACCACTCACTCCCCAAACCTGAATCGGTCATTCCTCCCTATCCCAGACTGGTCATTTCACTCAACCATGAAGGGTCACTACAGTCCCAATCCAAGATGGCACAGTCAGTTTCTTGTTATCTGCTGACCTGCTACCCATGGATCTGCATTATTTCATAGAATCACTACGGTGTGGAAACAGGCCCTTTGGTCCAACAAGTCCACACCAACTCTCAGAGCATCCCACCTAGACCCATCCCCCTAATCTACATATCTCTGAACACTATGGGCAATTTTAGCACGGCCAATCCACCTAGCGTGCATATCTTGGGACTGTGGGAGGAAACTGGAGCACCTGGAGGAAACCCACGCAGACACGGGGAGAATGTGCAAACTCCACACAGATAGTCGCCTGAGGGTGGAATCGAACGCGAGTTCCTGGTGGAACTGAGTTCCTCAGTGCTAACTACTGAGCCACCGTGCTGCCCTCAAATTATTTATGAGGTTGGCCCAAAGCTGCTTTTTCTTCCCATTGTCTCCTTTGTTTGGCCGTGGTAAACTGATCATGGTCCTTCATTGTATGCAGAAGAGGTGTGTAAGAATGGCATCATATTTTACGTTATGTGCAGGAAGTTTGTATATCTTTCATTGATAACTCGTGTAACTACTGCATCCAATACATGGCTGGTCACATCCTAATCCCCAACCAGTCTGTACTCTCCTTCCCAATCCCAGACCAGTAATTGAAAAGAGAAAAAGGAGCATTTTGTCTAAATGGTGAGAGGTTACAGAGCTCTAAGATGCAGAGGGATCTGGATGTTGTGCTGCAGGCATCACACAACGTTCGTATGTAGGTACTGCAAGTAATCAGGAAAGCTAATAGAATGTTATCATTTATTACAAGGGCAATTAAATACAAAACTAGGGAGGCTATGCTTCAGTTATACAGCTGTGACTGCATCTGGAGCACTGTGTACAGTACTGATCGCCTTATTTAAGGAAAGATGTAAATGCATTGGAAGCAGTTCAGAGAAGATTTACTAGACTAATACCAGGAATGGCTGGGTTATTTTATGAGGAAAGGTTTGACTGACTAAGCTTGTATCCACTGGAGTTTAGAAGGGTAAAAAGTGACTTGATTGAAACATAGATGATCCTGAGGGGCCTTGATAGAGTAGGTATGGGGAGGATGTTTCTTCTTATGGGATAATCTAGAGCTAGGGATCACTGTTTAAAAATCGGGGCTGCCCATTCAAAATAGAGATGAGGCAATTTTTTTTTCTCCCCAGACCGGTCACTCCACCCCAATCCCAGACTGTCCTGAACTCCAGACCAGGCACTCCCTCATTCCCTTCTAATCCCACACTAGTTACTCCCCCCATGCAATGCTAGTCATTGACCCCCAATCCTGTCCTGATCACTCCTCCAATTCCAGACCTGTCACTCTCCCAATCCAACACCGGTCATTTACCCAAGTCCACAACCTTCACTCTCCCCACCAATCATGGATTAGTCACACTCCAAATTTTGAACCAACCACCGACCCCTAAATCCCAGACTCATTATCTGCTCCCTTTCAATCCTGGAGCATCAACCCCAATACCAGACCAGTCACTCCCCCACCCAAAGCCCACACCAGCAGAGTCAACATTAAAACTATGTGATCAAGACCTATCAAAAATCCGATTCTCCAAGATTGACAAACTTAATCTGCATTAAGTAAATACCTAGATTTGGAGGGGAGGGGGCTTCCTCCTTTATGCACTGTTCTGAAATACAACAATAATTAATGAGGAAACCAAAAGTCATATCAAATAAAAACCAAAAGAACTGTGAATGCTGTAAATCAGGAATCATTAGGATGGGAAATGTGAATGCACCTTAAAGTGCAAAGCCTCTT